CAGGCCTGCACTGTCTTCAGCAAGTACACAGCTTTCCTGCCCGTGGGCCTCAGCACCAACACCTGCCTGCCCACTGTGCTGGAGTACCCACCCACAGGTACCCACCCACAGGTACCCACACACAGGTACCCACCCACGGGTACCCACCCACGGGTACCCACACACGGGTACCCACCCACGGGTACCCATCCACGGGTACCCACCTACAGGTACCCACACACAGGTGCCCACCCACGGGTACCCACCCACGGGTACCTACACATGGGTACCCACACACAGGTACCCACACACAGGTCCCTGCAGGACCCCTTCCTCCTCCAGTCCCACCCCAGGTAGGACCAGGAGCTGCTGGGACCTGCAGGTGCATCAAACCCGAGGCTTTGGGCTTCTTCTCCCGAGGCTTCTGCTGAGTTTTGGGGGGCTTTTTCAAGCCCCTCAGGGCTTGAAATTAGACCTGTGAGCACAACTCCTGGGTTGGAAGGACAGGGCCTGGTGGGGCTTTTGGTTTAGGTTGTCCCCTGGTCCTTTGTGGGGAGGGAATTTCATCAGCCACGTAGGAGAAGTGAGGCAAGAGGAGGGTTTTGCCAAAACTCAGCAGCAGAACAAGCCACCCCACATCCCTGCGTGTTCCCCTTTTGCTCTCCTGGGTGTCACCCCAGCTTTGTGTCCCCTCCCAGGGCTGGCACAGAGCCTGGCTGCTCCCTCTGCACAAGCCCAGGAGTTCATCGAGAGCCTCTTTGCTGCCAGGTACGGGCACCACCTTCTGCTGACCTCCAGCAGGTGTTTTGCACCTCCAGGGGGTTGGGCACCAACACCAGCTGGGGGCAGAGCAGGGACACCCCAGGGTCAGCAGCCAGAGCTGGGGCCCAGCCTGGTGCCACTGCCCGTGGGCTGGTTTTTGGAGGGGAGAGGGGAGGGTTTAGGGACCCCCTGCCTGTCCCTCCTGCAGGCTGACCTTCCACAGGACCAGGCTCGAGCTGCCAAGGGCTTCCTGAGCAAATCTCCCAGCAGAAGGAGTGAATCCAGCTCAGAGGGAGACAATGAGAGCACTGACTACCTGCCCCTGGTGAGCAGCTCTGGGTTGCAGGGGGCAGGAGGGACCCCCTGGGTGCTGCCTCTCGCTGGCTCTGCTGGCATCTCCAGTGGAGATGAAGAGCTGCTCCCACCCCTGCAGGCTCTTCTCCTGAGCTTCCCAGGACTGGGTGGCATCTCAGAGCTTCCCTGCCCCGCTGTCCCTTGCAGGCATCCCTGCAGCTGGCCTGTGGTGCCTTCCTCCTGAACTCAGCCCTTCTGCCATGCTGTCAACATCCCCATGGAGAAGCTGCAGAGGACCTCTCCCTTCCCCTGCCACTGCCTGGCCCTCAGCCCCTCCAGCACCAAGAAGACCAGCCCTTCCAGGGAGCAAAAAAGCTCCAGCCAGCAGCTCCAGGTCCCTGCTGCCCACGGGGAGAGCCCCATCACCAGGGATGTCCCTCTGGGAGTGGTGCTGGGGGGAACCAGCACCCAGCTGGAGGCCACCTCCCCGGGCAGCTCGGTGGGGAACATCCCCAGAGCCCTGAAGGCTGAGAAGGAGCTTTCCCCACCATCCAGCACCATCCGTGGCTTCTCCAGGAGCACTCCAGGCTCTGCCCAGGGGCAAAACACCAGCAGCTTGGAGAGGGATGACTCTGAGGTCCAAGGGTTGCTCCTGGAGCTGCAGCAGCAACCGGAGCCCAAGGGGCTGCTCTGGGCCACGGGGGTGGCCCTGGCCTGGCTGGAGCACAGCTCAGCCTCCTACTTCGTCGAGTGGGAGCTGGTGGCTGCCAAAGCCAACCTGTGGCTGAGCCACCAGGAATTCCCAGCAGGATCCAGCCTGGCTGCTGTGAAAGCTGCTGCCCAGCAGCTCTTCGTCCTGCTCCGGCACTGGGATGAGAAGCTGGAGTTCAACCTGCTCTGCTACAACCCCAGCAGTGTGTAGGGAGGGGAGAAGCTCCAGCAGCTCCCCCGGGGTGCAGGAGCAGGGAGCTGTGTCCTCCAGGAAACACCTCCAAGGAGCCCAGCTCCTCTGCTGTGGGCAGCAGGCTGGGCAGAGCCTGTGCCCAGCCCTTGGTGGGTCACCCCAGGCAGGTGCTCAAAATGCCACCTGTTTTTAACTGGAGCAGCACCCCCAGTTCCCACTGAACCCAGTTTCTTCTGGTTCCAGGCCCTGTTCCCAGAGCAGGACCCTGCTCCTGGCTTGGCTGCCCCTGCCCAGCCCTGAGCTGCTGCTCCTCTGCAGCTCCTGCCTGGCTTCTGCCAGCTCAGAGTTGCTCAAGCCACCACTAACATGTCCCTCAGCACCATCTCCAGGGCTTGGAAACCCCTCCAGGGATGGGGACTCCACACTGGGCAGGAAGAAAATGTTCCCCAAATCCAACCTAAACCTCCCCTGGTGCAACTTGAGGCCATTTCCTCTTGTTCTGCCACTTGTGACTGGGCAGAAGAGACCAAGCCCACCTTGCTCCAACCTCCCTTCAGGTCCCAAACTGGGCTCCATCCCATCCCCAGGGTGCCTGTGTGGATCCCAGGGGTGTCAGCAGGTCCCTGGCAGGCTGCAGCAGCCCTGGGGAGCTGGGCAGGGGCAGGATGGGCTGAAGGACACGTCCCTGGCACTTGACACCCACCAGAGATCTCCAGCACAATGGGGGAATTTTATTCCCTGCTGAAAAGCTGGATCCTTCCTCCTCCACAAGAGACTCCTCTGTTGGTTCTGCACCACAGCCTTTGAGTCCAAGGGCTTGAAGTCTTGCTCATTATGGACCTTCTAACCCCCCCTCCAAGCTGGTGGGTTTGTACCAGGGGCTCCTGCAGCCTCTAGCCCAGGAGCTTGTTCTTGCCACAACCCTCTTGAAAGGGAGAGGGAAGGACCCTCCCAAACCCTGGGACACCTGGAACCATCAGTGGCCCCATCTCTGCTTCTTGCTGCTTAAAGCTCAAAGGTGGCCAGATGTGACCACTATTGCCATGGAACCCCAGCCAAGCTGTTCTCCATGGGGGGCAGATTCCACCATCCTGCAGCAAAGTCCCTTCCCCAGCCCCAGCACAGCCCAGCAACTGCTGGGAGCTTCATTCCCTGCCCTAATTTCTAGCAGACCAAGGGCACCAGGCTGCTCCAAGCCCCATCCAACCTGCCCTTCAACACCTCCAGGGATGGGGCAGCCACAGCTTCTCTGGGCAACCTGCTCCAGTGTCCTCATCTTGGAGCTCCAAGATGCCCTGGTGCTGCTCTCACCACTGCTCCTGCCTCTCCAGCCCCAACCAGCTCCTTGCCCTCTGCCAGCCTGGCACTGGAAGCTGCTCCAGAACATCCCATTCCAGGACACCAAGGGGCTGAGGCTCCTCCAACCTGCCACCAGCACCCCTGGCAGCCCTGGGGATGCTCATCACCACCCCACAACCTCCCTTACTCCCAGGCCTCCTGATTCTCTCTCTGCTGCCTGGGGAGGCACCAACCTCCCTTCCCAGCTCCAGGATGGACTTCCCAGCAGGATCCAGCTGGCAGCAGCCCCACGGACCAAGTGCCTACAGAGGGAATCCCTGTGGAGCCCATCAGACCTGTTGCCTTCTACCCCCTCCCTTGGCACATAGCAGCCTTGCTGGCTTCCCACAGGCTTCTCTCTGGTGTCTGTGTAACTGGTGGGGTGGAGATGGGAGGAAACCTGGTGCTGGGAACCATGAGCACCCATCCAGTCCCTGCTCTCAGTGTCACCTCCCCGGGGTGCCCAGCTTGGTGACACTGCAGGTTTGTCACCCGGGTGCCCTCGGTGCTGTCGTGTTCTCTGTTGCTGTCCCAGTAAAACCACAGCCTGTTCCACTGCCCAGCACCAGCCTTTGGAGTTTCTGGGGGCTGTTTTTGCTTTTCCTGGGGCTGTGTCCTGCCCCCTTCCCCTGGGGACATCCCAGCTGGGTGAAGCACCTTGTGGCTGTCCAAAAAAATCCCTCCCCAGAAGAAAAACCTCATCCTAGTTTAGCCCAGGAGTTAATTTCTATGATTCTATGGTCTGGCTTTTGGAGGAGCAGGAGTTTCCTCCAGGTCCTGGGGAGTTGTGTTTTGCAGACCCCAAATTGCACAGGGCTTGGTGAGCTGATTTTAAAAACCAGGGGCAACCTGGTTTGATTCTTCCATGAGACAAGAGATGAGAAGCAGAGAAGCCCTGGCACCATTTCTCTCATGGAATGAAGGGTTTGGGTTGAGAGGGACCTTGAAGATCATCTAGATCCAACCCCCTGCATGGGCAGGGACACCTCCCACCAGCCCAGGTTTTCAGCATCCACTCCAGCCATTGGAATGAGGCCAAAATCCTTCTCTACCTTCCTTCATTAGGTATTAATTTAGGTAGGACTAGAGCAGCCATCATGTTTTCCAGCCCAAAGCAGGAGCTACATCATCCCTTCTTCTCCTCTGGGCAAGGAAGGGCCTGCTCTGATCCCTCCTGCTTTGGGTGACCTATGTATTTTTTAAATAAATACACCTAAAAAGAGATCTATTAAATAATATCTATTTAAAAATAGGCACTTATGGCCCAATTTTCCCCCCTCTAGACCAGAGCAGAGGGACCAGCAGTTCCCATCTCATCCCTCCACCTCTGCCAGCCCCTTGTCTTGCTTGGCCCCTGAAGGACCAAGGTTGGTGATTCCTTCCTTAATCCTCTTTCCCCTTCCCAAATTTCCCACCTCAGCAAAGCCACATGGATGGAGGAGGCTGCTGTCCCCACCACCTCACCCCAAACCCAGCTGAGGAACCCACCATGGACCCCAAACCTGCCTGGCCATGCAGCTGATGGACGAGCTTGTCCTTCAGCTAATTGGGCCACTAATGAGACTGGGGCTGGCAACTGGGAACTGCTGCCTTCTCCAGGGATGAAGCAGGTCCCCCCCACCTCCAGAAGGTCCCTCCCCTTTGCATCCCAAGGGATTTCCACCCCGTTAAGTCATTGCCCTCAGCAAGGGTGCTCTGATGCTGTTGCCAGGGCGACCACAAGCCCTGATGAAGGGAAAGGAGCTGGGATGCATTTGGCAGCTTCAGCTTAATAAATAAACCCCTTTTGCACTGTGTACATAAATATTTACACACAGGGAGAGGTTTCCCAGCCCCTCGGGCATCGTCGTGTCATGAGGGGAGTTTTTGAGGAGAGAAAAGGCCAAACTGGGAGAGAACCAGGGAAGTTGGGAGAGAACCAGGGGAGTTAGGAGAGAACCAGCCAAACTGGTGCAAAACTGCATCCCTGGGGCTGCTCTTGGAGGTGCCAGGGGGGTTATGGTGATGGTGGGACCCCGCAGGGACCCCTCCACACCCCTCCCTGCCCCCAACATGTGCCCCAAACATCTCTTTGCCCCAAACATCTCTTTCCACCGGGACCACGAGCTCCTGCTCGGGGTTGGGGGGATGTTGGGGGGGG